CCACTGGCTATCGTGCAGGTCACGGGTTCAACTCCAGGGAACTGTGCAGATACTGTACACAGGTAAGCTGAGGTCAAGGGATCGATCCCTGGGATCTGCATCGGCTACTGCCAAAGGTGAAAACTGTTTCAAAAGTGTCTAAAACCGCACGCGTCCCGCATAGTGGCTTGCATGTGGTGGTTTCGAGCCCTGGTCTGTCCTTCACGCATGAACATGAAAAGGAAAGAGTAGAAGAAAGGGAGGGGGGGGAAACACAAAACAAAACAAAAACGGAGAAGGATCTCGTACGCCCCACTGCAACTCACGCCCTTTGCATCGAACGACTCAGTAAACATGTTGACATCGCACGGCTCGAAAAGCACACTTTCCCTTCGCACGTCTCGCATTGGCCCATCCAAAGTCCAACAATGAATGGCAGCCGCCGGATGTAAAAGAACATCGGACGGCCAACAACCCCAGTTGAGGTCAAAAGCACAGCCCTCAGCCGATAAACCTTAGTATGTTGGACGGATAATATACATTATTTTATTGATATGTTAAGAATTTATGATGAAGATAATTGCTATTTACTCTGCAGCAGTTGCTGTGGTTGCTTCTTTCGATTATATCGGCATGGACATAACTTCAGTTGCTGCGGTTGCTTCTTTTGAGTATATCGGCATGGACATCATGTCAGTTGCTGTGGTGTGATCATTACAGTGACTTTTGTGGCCGTACCTGGCTGCAGTTCAGGGCCACATTCTGATCATTCAGTAACTTTTGTGGACGTACCTAACCACAGTTCAAGACATTTCTTCCATTGTGTTCTATTTGATACTACCCAAAAAAAACAAAATCCTTTTGCTATTACCAAAACTTCCGAAAGTTAATTTGCAAACAAATAGTAAAATACCCTCGTGAAAGTACACAAACCCACATTTGAAGATAATCGGTTAAGAATCATAAGATGAGCATACTTAAACCACAGGTGCTTGCGCGGCACTTTTCCCCAGGGCTGGATAAGCACTGCGTGTTAATAAAAAACAAACCCACAGAGAACTCCTTTTGGCTGGAGCTGCCAGCCATTTCGCCCAGGCGGCCGAGCCCCGAAAGTTGCAGCAGCATGCAAGCTGCAACTCTGAAAAAATGCCTAGGAAACGTACTGGAGGTTCAAGTTGTTTAACAGTGTGATCATACACTGACGTACTGAGCAACAGTTCAGAGCCAGATTCAGTTGAGAAAGCCCTAGTGTGAGCATGCCACAGTGCAGCATGCAGTAAGAGTGCCTCCAGTCTTCCTCTGCGTTTATACTTGAGAGAGAGAAGAGTAAATTTTTTGTGTTGTGTGTACGGTTTTGTTTTTGAACTATTTATATAATTTCTGTGATTTTTCAGATCTCCGTTACTTTTATTATGTTTGTGACTTTTACTATCTTCGTGATTTATTTTTGTGTTTTCAGCAGGTGAAGCCACAACAGGTCATGGCAGAGAAACTGCCGCTACAACCGTGTACTCAGGCCGTGCTCACACTGGACCTATTCATGCCAGATGCAATCAAGAAAGTCCTTGTGTCAAACACAAGCAAGTGCTGCCTCCTCAGACGCAAAATGACAAATTAATCCCCACACATGACCCTTACCTTATCATACACAAAGCAATCCACGTTGCTGTCTGACGATTGCCTCAGCATCGTTGCACCATTGCCCCTCGATAGACGCTCGACAGCTCTCCAATTTTCTATTGCTCCGCCGTCGCCGTCTAAGATTTCTCTACACTTTGTACACACTTCATCCCCCTCTTTTTCACAGCTCCCCAGTGGCCTGTAATCAGCAAAGAAACCCAAGGAACTTCTTCCGAAAGTCGGCGTTTTGACTTGCTCTAGATCTTCAGCCCCGCCCATTTGGAGACCTTTGAAGTCGTTGCCCTCTCCTTCCCCTTCCAGACTGCAAGCGGTCGCTACCTCTCCCACGGCCTCGGTAGTCCTTGTCCCGCTGGCACAGCAGCACCCTGTTGGAGATCTGCTTGCCGGTCCCATCTGAATTGGGTTATCGTCATCCGATTGCCAATCGGCCGATCCATTCAACACCATTGACCTGTTTACAGGTGCCCTCAAGCTTGCCTTCACACTCCAAATGTAAGAGGCAACGTCCACATCAATGGCCGTTTTGCTTCGCTCCTTTTTTAATCCTTTAGGAGATCTACACAGGCATACCGGTATATGTAACAAGCCCGTTATGGGAGAGCTTCCAGGAGCTGGCACAACCTCCTCCTCCTCTTCCTCCTCCTCCTCCTCCTCCTCCTCCTCCTCCTCCTCCCTTTTCCTACTCTGACCGCACTCGGCTTCTGTGCCCAAATAGCGCCAAATTGACATTGCAGTTTGTTTGACCTGCACATAAACCAAACGATAAGCAGATATGTTGAGCACACTGGACCATGACAGTGTAGCGAAGGAGCAGGGAGGGGGGAGGGGCACAGGATGTGCGGAAGGGAGGTGGGGGGCAACTTTGTGCCACAATGCCAATAACCAAATTATAGACAGGAGAGGATGCCAGATGGCCAGCTGAGAGGCACAAAGGGGGTAGGGAGGGAGGCAAGAAGACCGGAGAGGGAGGGAGGGAGGGAGGGAGGGGTCAAGCAGTGAGCATGGGAGAAAGGAAGGAAAGGAAGAAAGGGAGAAAGGGAGACAGGAAGATAGGGAGAAACGGAGAGAGAGGGAGACGCACAGGGAGGAAGAGGAAGAAAGACGAGGAGGTAGGACAGGGAGGAAGGGAGAAGGGGAGAGGAGGAGCGGAGGGAGGGAGGGAGGGAGTGAGGGAGGAAGGAAGGGAGGGAGGAAGGAGAAGAGGAAGGAAGAGAGGAAGGAATGGAGAGAGAGTTGACGAAACGACGGAAGAGATGGAGGTAGAGACAGGGCAATGGGAGGGGAGGTGCCGGTTGGAGGAAGGCAGGCAGGCAGGCTCGGAATCTACCTTGGTCTCTAGGGTGTCTATAAAGGCTGCATGTGATACCAACATAATGCTTCCAACGAGAAGTTGGGATGTGCAGCAGGCCTCCTATACTCTCACAAGCAGACATACATCTACACTCTTGGATCCCACACAGCGGCTTTCAAATTGGGCATACAACACAACATTCCATACACAGCCCAAAAAAGAACATCCAAGTGTAATGACCCGCCAAAACAGAGACTGAGAACACTGCTGATTTCTGGGATTTGTCGCTGGAATGTATGCCTTGCTGAGATTCCGGCATTTTGCTGTGATTTCTAAGTCTGTGTGTGTGTGTGTGTGTGTGTGTGCCTGCTGGTCTGCATGCCTGTCTGAGTGCTTGTCGGCCTGAGTGTGTGTGTGACCCGCAAGGGTACTTGTTGGTTGAGAGGCCCCGCAGGGCTGGTACATACCTGTGGCCGTGACTTTGAGGGTTGCGGGTGGGGAAAACACTCGAGTAGCCGGGGTAGGCCCGCAACACTTAGAGCAGTGTGAAAAACACTCAAGTAGCAGGTAGGCCGGTACCTTTCAAGTAGTGGTAGAAGTGTCGGGTACTGGAGGCCGAGCAGAAGAAGACAAAAGTTGGCATTTTAGAGGCCCAGTAGCAGTAGGCTAGAGGTAGGCCGGTACCAGTCCAAGTAGCCTGAGTCTAAGGCCTCTCCAGACGATATCAGAGCCTGCAATGATGTTTCCCTCCGAAAGAGAGGAGGTACCGGTTGCTGGAAGGCCACACGGCCTAGGAAGTCACCACCCAAGAGGCAAGTAGGCCGCTATATCTCCGGAAGGAGCAAGCAGCTTCTCCTCATTTGCAGTGTGCAAGGATTGGCGACATACTGCTGCAGCCAAGCGCTGGACTGGGAGCGCTGCCTGGAGGAGGAGAGCAGCTGGGCGCTCAGCCTGGATATGGCGAGCGGCCGTGAGGAGGAGGAAGAAGGGGACGAAGGATGAGAGTGGTGAAGTACCTACCTGGCTAAGGTGGACACCATCTTCATCACCTTGATAGGCACTGCATCTGGAAGGCCCCAGTTGGGGTAGTGCCAAACCAAGGAAGCTCAAGGCAGAGTCAGGCATGGCGGCTTAGTGTGCAGCTGCATAGCTGCTTTGTGTTGTCCTTGGACAGGAGGGCAGCAACATAGCTGCTTTGGGTTGTCCTTTGGACAGGAGGGCAGAGCCCTTAGTAGACCCCGCCATAGCCTAGGAATGTGAGAGGAAGAAGGGGGGAAGCCATGGCTATGGTGGACCTGTTGTTGTGTCAGCAGTAAGAGGGAACTTCGGATATTGATTCTGGTTCATCCACTCATTATTATTATTATTGGAAGAAGAATAAGATTGGCGAAGTCGAGGAAGAGGAAGGTGGAGAGAGAAGGGGGGATTTGTAATTGGTCTTGCTGGTGTACATCTTCTTCTTCCTCTAATTCTTCTTCTTCTTCTTTCTCTCTTCTTTGGTCTCTATCTCTTTGCAAATGCTTTCATGTGAATTTGCACTTCGGAAGCGACCAGGATTGTAACAATTGGTATCGGAGCGGACTTACCTGCTGGCGACAGGTGTTAGTCGCCCTAACCCTAATTCCGAATTAGGTTAGGGCTAACCTAATCTCGGATTAGGGTTGGAGGTTAGGGTTAAAAGGGGCAGTGAGGTATGTGGATGCTGCCCCCACCTGGTTAGGTCATGTAGGGTCGACATCAGACCTGACCAGGTTGCTTGAGTGATTGAATGAGGTGGTGAGACAGAAAGGAGGCTGATTGGAGCAAGCGAGAGGGAGTAGAGAGTGAGAGGTACTCGCACCTGGAATCTGACCTTCAAGAAGACATCGAGTAACTTATGGGCTTCCCTCAAGAGGGAGACTTGACTGGAGGCTGCCATATCTGCAGCAAAGAGCTGCAAGTTGCTACTTTGGCCTTCAACATCGACGGAGGATCCAGCGTTGCAACATGACTGTAGGAAGGCCCTCTTAGCCATGCTAGGACACTTCGAGTAGTGGTAGCTAGAGGTCAGGAGGGCCTATGAGAGACGGGGGTGAGTTGTTATCCATCTTTGGAGGTCGGGCCTCACAGGTAAGTGCCGTGTGACTTGGGTATGCCCACGGGTGGTTGCTTGGTGCTTCGTGGCCTGTTGGGGTGTGCTGGGCTCTGTTCCTCTTCTCTACGATCTTGGTTGTGTGTGTGAGCATGTGGATTGCTTTCTCACATGATGGATGGATGGATGATGTATCTTGTTCTCAATGACATATCTTTCTACAGTGCATTGTCTTTCCACTTCTGAACGGTTGTAGGAGTAGGTTCTTGCTGAAAGTTGTTTTTTCCTTTTCAGTACGGTTGAGGCAGTTTGGGACTGTCTTGGGACACCTTTCTGATTGGTCCCGGTCCACAACCTACTTGGGACCCTTCGGTACTCAGTGGGACCAGGCCCAATTGGATGGGACCCTTCAGTCCCAAATTTGTGGCCTTCAGTGCATTTCTTTGCTTTGCTGAAATTGGGGGACACACGGCGAGTAGGGACATTCCTTTCAAGGGGCTCTTGACTGGTCTTACTGCATGTTCTCACGCACTGCCCCGCGTCTGGCTCGGCGACCATCTGCACCCCTCGAAATCTCCATTGCTTCAGTTGGTTTTCTTCAGATGACTTATTCGTGGTACATGTTCCATGTCAGGTTAGACAAGAGGGGATCTCCAGCTGATCTGACCGGACCCCTTCGTTAAGTCAAGACCTCTTTGAATTGTTTTTTTTCCTTTTTTCTCTGCTGCGTGGGTGCCATTCTCGAAGTCCAAATGAATTGCCTCTCCGGCTAGGAGTTCTACCTTCTGCTCTTGCGATTTATTTTTTCCTTTTATCTGAACTACCTATGTCCAGTACTGAGACGCGTGCACAGAAAGTGGAAAGAGAGAGAAGGGAGAGAGACGGTGTTCTTATTGAGAGTGTGAGGAGGGGTAAGAGGAGTGTTCGTCCAAACATGAGCAAGAGCAGACCCCTCGTGAGAGAGCTACTGACAACCCATCCTCCGGCATGGCAGACATCTCATCTGCCCAATGGCAGGTTATGCTGGACGCCGCAGACGAGAACGGGAAACCTTTCTTTCAAAAAATTTATGAGGATGCGTTGCGTAGAGGAAGGAGGCAGAGGTAGCGGCTAGATCGGCAAGCATTGCTGATCAAATAGCTTTTTTGACTATTCCGAAAACCGGAGATGTTCAGTTTCCAGAAAAGTTAGCCGATGTTGTAGCAGCCTTTGTCCAACTACAGACTCTAGAAGATTTTGAGTCGCGTGTGACAGCTCTAGAACAGCAAAATCAAGAGCTGCTGGCTGAGATTACAGGCCTCAAGCAGGACCAACTGACCATCCCTCGTCCTCCTTGTCCTGCTGCAGTCCCAACTTTTCCCCGTAACACAGTCCTCATGCAAAGGTCAAGTGGAACTGTGACTTGCACATGAACCGGTGCCAGCTCTTCAAGCCGCAACGCCGGCAGTTCTGCATTGATCCCAGTCCCAAATGCAAGATCATCAGCCCGAAACACCACATTCCTTGTTGGCGTCCAATACACGGGTTCCATGGTGAACAAGAGGGCAGCCATGCTGCCATCCAAGTACGATGGGAAGGGGGATATCACCTCTTGGATCAGCTCCATGCGCTCATACTTTGAGGTACTGCGTACGCTGCAGGAAGACCGAAGTATGATCATGGGCACGAATACTGAACCCGCCATACTTAGTTTTATTGAACTACAAGCTGGTAGTGCAGGTTACGAAACGATTGACCTGACTGAGTGGCTGAAAATGACTCCTGCACGCACTCTTGAGGACCTTTTCATCGCACAATATCAAGATAAGCACGCTTCACTCGAGGCAAGGCTGAAACTTGAGGTTGGAACAGCATTTGACTAGTTTGTTCACTACTCCAAACCTGGGATGGACTGACGTGTCTTGCAGGGATGTAGTTATGGGAGTGGCCCCTAAAGACTATGTCTCCTGGCTAGGACTCAAGGAGCATTCAACCTAGCATGAGTTCTTGACGGATCTAGTCAACCTAGAAGCCAAAGACCTCGCCAGGCGTGCAAAGACATCTGCATCAGTTAAAAAGAATGGGAAAGAATATCCGAATTGCATGTGTGCTTGCATTGTGAACAGCCTAGGCACTCAGTGCAAGATTGTTACCGTCTGCAAGGAAACAGGCAAAGGGCATAGAGGAGTCGTCAGCACTCTCTACAACAAGGGAAGCTGAACAGTCCGCTGCAGGGCCCTCCAAGGAGCCTGAATCTGATCAACAGCCTGCTCTTGAAACCCGGACGACGCTGAATCCAAGGTTACCGCAGTCCAAGTGCTTTACACGAAGCCTTGGGAGGAAACTAAGGAAGTCAAACTTTCATTCTCACCTGGAACATTGGCTGCAGCTCAAGCAGCAACA